CAGCAGTTGCAACCAATAGAACTCCTTTGTATTTGTTCTTCAAAAAAGTTCCATCAACCACAATAACCCGTCTCATGACTCTGTTAAATCCTCGTATGGACTGCCCAAATGCAATAAACAGGAACCGAAATCTTCCATTACTGTCAATCTCATAAGCTGAATGTGTACCTGGATTAGCCTCTCTGAGCATGTGCAAGTATTTTGGTATTTTCCCATAGCTTCTCTCTGGGATACCTCTAACTGCATTGACCGCATATTCACGTGCATCATATGCTAAAGAACTTGAGATCTCACATCCATGATCCTGAAGCATAATCTTAATGATATCATTTGTCTTTGGCCCCTCCTTCACGCCTTCATACTTATGCATAACCAGACTGCCTATAGTTTTCGCTGAAGCAGTCCTACCCCCATTGTTTTTGCTTGAAGGTGCACATGTATGTTCACCAACATACTTTTTTATAGTGAAATATGCAGATTCCTTCAAACTCTCAGCTCGAACACTCCAATTGCAACAATTTTCTCCGCATCTAACATACCAAACTTGCCTATCCGATTTTATTACCTTATAGTCAAAGCTATGCTTCATTGCACATATCTCGAAAGTCGCCTTCAGCAACGTTTTGTTCTGAAAAAGTTGTCCCTTTTTAACAACATCGAGCAAAGAATACTTGTCCTGTTTGTGTTGCTTCTCTTTCTCAGAGTTCATGGTATAAGCATCATAGTCATCCTCTTCAGAGTCATCCTCATCAGNGTCTGCTTCATTCGGATTCTCAGCCTTTGATTTATATGTTACACATAATCCAGTCGAGGGGTTCTTTTCAACAAAACCAACAAAATTCTTAAGCTGACGATCATTTGCAATGAACACTGGTGGAGATGTTGATGTATTGATCAACCCAGCAGGTAAATAACTCAGTTCCATATCGGCTAACATATCTTCTTCCATATCAAAATCCTCCAACACCATTCTCTTTAAATCCTCTAAGGTAGAATTTGCTTCCAATAATTGTAATCTTCCCCCTCTGTCATCAGCCGAAAACACCCACCCCGTAGCACCTACTTCCCATACACCGCAAGTAGTATAGATGTGCATGGTACAAGAAAATTTGTGAAAATCAAAAGAAACACAATGGAGGGAGGTTAGGTTAAGAGGGTTGAAGAAGCTATGGTTTTTTTGGCGTCAAAATTCGTTTCACACACATAAGGAAGGTGGAGTTATGGACAAATCTTTTTGAATATTTTCCTAGATTTTTTCCCAAATTTTCGGAATTTTGTTTAGTTTTATCCGTAGAAGGTACCTTCTACACAGCGTAGACACACAAACATGTTTCGAGAAGCACATTCTACTATATGTAGACATCTGCAATTTAAGTAGAACTCGTATTCTAACATTTGTAGAAGTGGATATAAACGTAGAACGTACATTCAGATTTTTTGTAGAAGTCTTTAAAAACGTAGAATATGGGTTCTACAAAGTGTAGAGATAATTGGTTTACGTGGAATATGCGTTCTACAAAGTGTAGAGATAATTGCTTTACGTGGAATATGCGTTCTACTATGCGATTTTTCGTAGAATGTGAATTCTACTCTCCGTAGAACGTAATTAAAATTTTTAATTTACCAAAATTTTGAAATTAAAAAAAATATCAGTTTATGTATATAGAAATTTAATCACTTCTCTTTATTTTTAAATATTTTTTCGAGTAATAGAACTATTTATTTTATTAATTTTTATAAATGGAAAGGGTAAAAGAGAGAAAAAATGGTCAAAAAATATGATATACTAAAGGGACATGAGACCTGTTTTTTTGTTCTATATTAGCATAATTCCCTTTTTTTTTTTTGTCAGCCAAAAAAAAATCTATTTTATTTTATTGGTGGACTAATTGGTTCAAAATTAAAAATGTTCGAGAAATAATTATAACAATAAGTTGTGAATACATAATAATTGGCATAATTTAATTATGTATAAATATTTTCATATTTTTGTAAAATAGTTAATTGTCTAAATTTAAAAATTTGATATACGCCCATTTTATAAAAAAAAATCATTTTAAAATATTTGTGACTTAAAAAACTACAAAACATATTAGTATACTTTTATTAATATCAATTAAGTACATAAATTTGATTTAAATAAAATTTATTGATTATTGAAAAGATATAAAAATCAATTAATAAAATTATATTGAAGATTGATTGATACATAATCGAAAAATGACATTCTTTGTAAAACAAAGAGAGCATAAAACTACCAGTAACATATATATATATATATAAATATAAATGATTCTAATACTATTAATTATAAACAAAAAAACTATAATATTATGAATTTTATTTACAAAGTAAGCGATTTTAGTACTTTCAGTTTTTGTTCTGAAATATAACAACAAACAAAAGTTTGAGTATGACTTCACCGTAAATCATACGGTTGGGTGACGCAATGATTATAACACATGAACCTTCGTCCTCACGTATTTTTATTAAATTTTTGTAAACAAAAAAAATAAAGTTCTTCCATTCGTCAGTCAATGATGTTTGTTGTCACATTCACAAAATCATAACGAATCCACAAATGAAATAAATATAAAATCATTTCCACTTTTTCTAACACCAATAAAATCATTTCCTCTAAAGCTCGCCATATATAAATAACATCACTCGCCTTCTTGTTCTATACACCATTCATATAACAAACAAACCATTCATTATAAGTTTATAACACAACAACACACATGGCTAAGCTCATTTTCTTCCTCGCCGTCCAAATCCTCATCCTCGCTGCCGTTTCCTCCACCGGAGACAACGAAGAACACTTTGCCAGAACCATAGATCGAAAACTCCTCGGTCTCCTTAAGAAAGAGAAACTAACACATTTCAAAGTGTATTGGCACGACATCTTAAGCGGTCCAAACCCAAGCTCCATTAGAATCCAGCCACCGGTTAAAAGCTCCACTACCTACTTCGGAGGAATCACTATGATCGACAACGCCTTGACGGCGAAAGTTGAGATGAACTCAACGTTAATAGGCCAGGCACAAGGGTTTTACGCCGGAGCCGCTCAGAAGGAGTTGGGGTTTTTCATGGCGATGAACTTTGCTTTCAAGACAGGGAAATACAATGGGAGCACGATCACGATTCTTGGTCGGAACACGGCGATGTCGGAGGTAAGAGAGATGCCGATCATCGGAGGAAGTGGTCTTTTCCGGTTTGCTAGAGGCTATGTTGAGGCTCGAACAAAATGGCTTAATTTTAAGAACGGTGATGCTACTGTTGAGTACAGTTGCTATGTTTTGCATTATTGATGCTAATCATGTATTTGTCCAATTTATATTTAATTTGAAAACGTAATAGTTATAGTTTCTTTATGGTGTGTGGTGGATTTGTGGATGTAGTTTTATGGCTTATTACAATTTAATGGTATTATTAATAGTTTTTCACTTGGTTAATAGTATTACTCTCTTTGTTATAAGAAACCACAAAGGTTTTTTGAAGATAACAGAAATGAAAATTAACATTTTACAATGATCTAAGACTTATATGATTAAAGATCAGATATCGTAACGGAAACTACAATCTTGCCTCCAAAATGACACTGATACGCTCAAAGTATAACGACGCTTTATTGCCACCATACAACCTCACCGAATGTCTAAGCACTAGCACATGAAGAAAGCAACATAATCCTTTTTTTAACATACTCCTTAGTCCACAATCATGACAAAATATAGCCTACCTACATTTTTGCCAAAAAAAAAAAAATACTAACTAAAAGCATTATTATTGAAGGTTTCTTCCTAAACTTTGATATAAGTTTTTCACAAATTTAAATTCTTTTTTTGTTACATATAAATATAATATATATTTATACTTCACGTGGTTTTGAACCTTAATAATGAGGAAACAAACTAACTAAAATCATTCTTATTATTGAAGGTTTGTTCATAACTATATAAGTTTTCCGAAGTTTTAAAATATTTATTGTTAGATAATAATATAATCTATATTATACCTTGTTTTGAATTTTATAATAATGGTATTTTAGAGTTTCCAAATTTTATGGAATAATATGTATATAAATCGGCAGGGAATAAACGACGGACGCACCTCTTGTTCTGTACTTGCCACGTTGCTGGTAGGTGAACCAGTACCACGACAAGCTTAATAACTTTGCTAAGTGCTTTAACTTGTTTTAAATTTACATTACGTATTAAACGGTTCATAATTTGACGAAAGCTGTTTCAAGAATGTCATTAAAACTTCGTTATATACAAAAAGGAATGAAAACTTTTTCGACGTGAACAACAGAATAAAGCAAAAGCGTGAAAAATACTGCAATGAGAACGACACGCATGGCCATATTTATATGCTGGCAATTGTTGTCGACTAAAGAAAAGTAATAAATATAACAGCTTTTATTTAATAAATGGGCAAAATTGTATTTTTTAATAGGCTAACTTTCTTTGTAACACTAAAGTGAAGATTGCATTGAAAGGATGATACACAGACCGGCGATTCCATGGATCCCGATAAACAAAACCAGCAGACAACAACATCAGTTCTTGGAATCCAAAGCCCACAACTGGGAAATGAAAAGGAACTGACAGACTAAGACCAGATTTAGATACAAACATCAAACTAATACAGCCTAAAAACATATCAAAAGAACCTAGAAATTAAAGAACAAATTGCATGAGGACTTGATGATCTCCTTAGATGAAACAAATCGAAAATGCCATCAAAGCCAATTTCAACGACTTGCGATACCTCCCATAGTGAATAGCCCATACAAAATAAGAACCATGCTTCGAAAACCAGTAAGACAGAACACTCAGGACATAAGTCTTAACCAGAAGCAACGTCAAGGAAGGATTAACATAAACGCCAAATGAAACATGACAAGAAGATAGATCTCGATCAGATCTTTTGGTATGAAGACATGGAGCGCATCAGTCTACTCTGGATTTAACCTTACTCGAAGATCCGAGAAGGAAGAAGATCGATACCAGAGAAGAATAAGGAGAGAAACAGAGTCAACATGCAAATCCAACAAGATATTAGGTTCAAGGAAAAAACGGACCTGAACTGAGACGAAAATAAACAAGGCTGAAAAGATGATGCATGCACCCAAATAAAACAAAGAGGAAACCAAAAAAAGATTAAACCCGACTCCGGCTTTGTGAGAGCAGTCAGAACCGGTAAACCGGAGATGTAGATAAAGGAAGCTAGAGAGAAGACATAGATTTTGGAGAGAGAAAAAGTAGATTAGTTTAACACAAAATAATAGGCTAGTTGTTTGATACTAAATATGTGCTAATATAATTATAATCTTAAAGTCAGAATAAATAATAGTTGGCCAATCCTAAATATATGTAGAGATTTTCATATTGTTTGAAAACAGTAATTGTCGACTGAAATATTTATCGGTAAATATTTGTTTATTTTCAAGATTTTGTTTTGAAAAAATGACAACAAAAGCTGTATACGAATGATTCTAGTAATATTGTCTATAATACTACCAATCTGATTCACCAAAAGTAATTATCCGTAAATGTTGATTTGTTGACAAAAAAAATGATTTGGTTTATTTTCAGATTTTGCTTTGAAAAAAATGACAACAAAAAGTTTTGATTATAACTTCGCCTTAACTCATACGAATCGATGACGCAATGATTATGATAACTAGTACCACACAGTTCACACTCTGCACACATAACCTTCCTCATATGTTTTACATTTAATTTTTGTAAATAAAAGAAAAAGAAGAAGTTCTTCCATTAGATAGAATCAACATAAATCAATGTTCGTTAAAACATATCCACACATAAAATAATATGAAATCATCACTGAAACAACTCTAAAACTCAGCATATATAAATAACAACACACACCGTCTTGTTCTATACACCAAAACACAAACAAACACACATGGCTAAGCTCATTTTCTTCCTCGCCCTCCTAACGCTCCTCGTCGCCGCTGTGTCTTCCACCAGAGACGATGGGGAAGACTTTACCAGAACCATAGATAGAAAACTCCTCGGTCTCCACAAGAAAGAAAAACTAACACATTTCAAAGTGTATTGGCACGACATCTTAAGCGGTCCAAACCCAAGCTCCATGAGAATCAAGCTACCGGTTACGAACTCTACATCCTATTTCGGAGGAGCCACTATGTTCGACAACGCTTTGACGGCGAAAGCTGAGATAAACTCCACGTTGTTGGGTCAGGCTCAGGGGTTTTACGCCGGAGCGGCTCAAAAAGAGTTTAGTTTTCTAGTGGGGATGAACTTTTCTTTTAAGACAGGGAAATACAACGGAAGCACGATCACGATTCTTGGTCGGAACCCTGTGTTGTCGGAGGTTAGAGAAATGCCTATCGTCGGAGGAAGTGGGCTGTTCAGGTTTGCTAGAGGCTATGTTGAGGCTCGTACAAAATTTCTTAATCTAAAGAACGGTGATGCTATTGTTGAGTACAGTTGTTATGTTTTGCATTATTGACGTTAATGATGTTTGTGTCGTAATGTCCGTGTGGGTGGTGGCTTTGTTGGAGTAGGTTTGTCGCTTATTTCTACATAAAGATGTAATTGTTGAGAAATGGTGGTTGGGACATATCCGGAAATGGACCAGACCACATCAGTCTACTTCAGTCCCAAGACTAGGCGGCCAAGACTTGTCATTATCCTCCTTTGTATTTATCCATATGTTGTAGTTATCCTAATCATTATAGGATTAGGATAATCATCCCCTTTATTGTTGTAATCCTTATCTCCTAAGGAATATGCTTGGAATATGCTTTATTCCCTTGTATATATATGTATGGTTGTAACCACGTGATTAATAAGATATACAGAGTCACAACAACCTTCTTTATTCCACAACACGTTATCAGCACGAGCTCTACCCTAGCACAAAAATCCGTAGCTCTCTCCCTCTCTCTTGGCGGCTGCAGAAAACCCTAATCCCTGCAGCAACTTCAAAGCGACGTATCTCCCAAACCGTGTGTACCCAGACGACGAGTTACATATCAATTTGAAGCTCTTGAAGAGAGGAATCCAACCGTTCAAACGGCGCGTCAATCAGACACCGGAATCAACCGGAATCACCAAAACAAGACGGCGGCTAAATTTCTGTTTTTCCAATCCGGGAAACCCTAGAAACTTCTCTCTTTCTCAAACGACTTACACCTTATTTCTTCCTTAATTTATTACTTTATTTTGAAGAAGAAATCCCTTGCTAACTATTCTTTTGCAGGTGTAAAGCCTTAGCTAAAAGATTCAAAGCAATCCAATCTCTCTCTCTCCTAAAGATCCAAACCGGTTTTTGCCCTAATGGAGGTCCATTCAAAAACAAGGAGATTTGAGGTATGAAACTTAAATTCTTAAACATAGGTTTCGACCCCCTTAAAACTATGATGTTTTTGGTATGTTTGAGAAGAAAAATTAAACCCCTAAAGAGCCTAACTATGTACATGGATACAAACTTGTATTCATGAACAAAAGTTAAACTAAAACCCTAATTGATGAACTCGAAATCTTTGCTTGCTTTGATCCGTTTGCTTGCTTATTTTTATAAAGTTATTTATGTTGAATGCTTTAGGAATTCACCTTGATAGATTTCGTGTTTTGAGTTTGAGCAAATTGATAATCTAAAACCCTAGATTGCTAAGACATAAAACCGGTTTGTTTTGTCTCTCTCTAGGATCGATTTGTTAATGGTTGTTTTGATTGATCCAATTCGTTTTTGCTGCACTAGATCTATTAATCTCTTGTTGAAATTGATCACCCTGGGACTATGTGTTTGTTTGATCATTGAATTAATTAGATCTGAGGTTTAGAAAGTTGGTATAACCTAAACCCTAATTTGCACATGAACCTAAATCTGATCTTGCTTAAACCCTAGCTATAACTTGGATATTTTCGTGGTTCAAGATTTGTTTTAGCATGTTAATATTACCTATCTGATTGTTAATAACACTGAGGTTGAATGGTAGATTCATAGGTTGTTTGAATCATATTGATAATTTTGCTAAAACCCTTGTGTTCTTTTATGCGCATGATCCTGCATCTATGATGTTTAAATTTCTTGATCTATCTT